TACCACAGTCCCACCTTTCAAGCTTCATCCACAAAGCAATAGAAAGTGACATTTTCTACCATTTGAAGAATCCTTTTCCAGTCAGAGTGTTAACCACAGCCCCTTTGCTCTGGCCCCACAAACAACACTGATTCCTCAGCCCCATGGCAGTGACCAGAGAACGTGGAGAGTTTCCCATGTGCCATTCAGGTACCACAATCTATTTTGGGTATGCCTTTATCAACTCAATTATTCTGCCCTGTGTGACTTAATCTGATTATAGTCTGAGTCCTATGAATTCAGCTATGAAAAATTAGCTATATTTTTGTAGTATTTCTCATGTACTAAAAACTTGCTTTAATCTCCTGCTTAATTCAGTGATTACTACAACCCATCTGGTAGGTACCTATTGACTTATTTCCCTCAATACCTATGATATACCAGGCACTGTATTAAATACCTGTACATAGTATTGTCTCACAGCCAAAAATAAATATTTGGGCAGATAAAGCAGAATCATAGAAAAGTTTAAAGTCCTTCAAATGGCCTACTAAAAAAAAAAAAGAACTAGAAATGTTTAAATGTATCATTAAGATTCTTAAAAGAATTTATCTAAATAAAACTCAATAAATGTAATCATTTTAATGATTGTTGGAAATCTAAAAATCATCTGAAGTTGCTATTGTGCAAAACTCTTTTCCTTGTATGGTACTAGAGGAAAGTTAGGGAGCTGAGATCTGAGATATAGCTTTTCTTCACTTGCCTCTGGGAAAATATGCCGTGGTGTGTTTCCATGAGCTCTGAGCTTAGATCATTCTTTTTCATTTACATTTCTCCTTTCAACTGATTAGCAGGTGAGACTGATATAAAGCCCTCAAATAAATGTTTCTTGCATAAGTGGGACTGATTTACTGGGACTTAGTACAATCAGGTCTCCTAAGGGCTCTCACAGCTAAATTTTCTTCAGAAGCATCATCATTGATGTTGATTAGACCACTTTACCCTAGAATCTATAGCACATAAGAATTTTGGTTTAATTTTATTTAAATTTTACCTGTTTCTTTATAAGCTACTTGGAATAAACCAACTCAGACCAAGACAGAATGAATAACTACAGAATGTATCCACTTTTCTTTCCAGTTGATTTCCAAAGGTCAACTCAAAGTAGCAAGGGACATGTCCCAGGGCTCAGTTCCCAAAGTGACAAGCTGGGGCATGCCGGACAAAGGGTAGACTGACTAAGTGACCACTAAGTTATATGCAGTGTCTTTCAGAGGATAAAAGCTCCTTGCAAGAAGGGGTAGGGGTGAGCAGAATACAGATGTATGGTCAAAGGGAACTGGTAGAAATGGTAGATTCTGATAAATGTCTTTAAGATGTTCCACATGTGTGCTATTTGCAAGATGAGCCACATTAAAATATTCTGAAAATAAGGGAAACTGACAGAGGCAGGAAGGATGGAGAAGAGATAAAAGGAAAAGCATAAAAATACTAGGCTAGGTCTTAATAACAGAATGAGATTATATGATACCATCTCTAATTTCACAGGTATGTCAGGAAGCTTTCTCTCCAAGTGGTAGAAGGCCTAATCCAAACTAGCTAAACCACAATGGAAGTTATTGGCTCACTCAACTGGAAGTCCAAAGGTAAGGTGGGCATCAGGATTGATTAAATAAGCAACTTCAGCTCCACAGGCCTGCGGTCTTCTTACCTCTCCTCTCCCCAAGTTGTGGGATTTATTCGCAGGCAGAGAATAAAATGGCAGCTGCTCTGGGTCTGGCCTCTATACTAGACAACTTCTCCATGAAGAAGAAGAAGAGGGTTGGTTCTTGACATTCTTCAGGAAGAGTAAAAAAGAAGGTCCTAGAAGCCTCATCTTTAATGTCATTAGCCCATATGGGGTCACATATTCATTCGCAAAACGATCATTGGCAAAAGAGATGTATCCCCTCACTGTTATACAACAGGGCCCGTCTCTAGATCTGGGGTTTGGTTAGTTTGAGGTCCCTCAGGCCGGTGTGAGAATTCTGCCAACTATCTAAAACTGGTAAATTTCACTTTCCACTACAGAAAATACAGTTATATTTCAGAATAATTGAGTACTATATTTTATAGTGAAGCTTTTTCTATTGTAAGAAAAAAAAACAAGCATTATTTTTAAAAATAAATATTTCCTTCTCTTATAATGCACTTTATTGTTTTTTATTATGGAAATGATATTGCTCCCTTTAGAGAACAGTAAGTATTCAGAAAAGTATAAAGAAGAAAATAAAAGTTATATGCAATTTCTCAACACCATTAACATTCTGAAAAACTCTTGCTACTCTGCTTTTTATGCATATTTGTTTATCACATATTCTGTTGATTGCTAGTGACAGAAACCCATTTTGAGCTGATTTAAACAGAAATGAGAATTTATGGAAAGCATACTGAGGATATCCCATGGAACACAGAGGCAGCTGAACTGCACATGAGACTAATAGTGGAAATTAGAAGGCAAGCAGAAACTAAGGAAATAGAGGCTCCATCCTTTTCCCTTTTTGTAGCCTATCTTTCTTTGTTTTGGCAGGAAAAATAGTCAAACATGGCCCTCCTCTAGGTTCCAACTCTATACCTTCTTCTTTCTCCATTAAGAACAAGCCCAGGTTCCTGGGGGAGTCAGTCTATCTCCCAAGCTTGTGCCAAGTTGATTGCACCTTTGGTCCAATCAACTATGGCAAGGAAGCAGTCACAGAACATAGCATGGCTACTGAGGACCTGGCCTTCAGTGTGGGTGGTAGGTCATTTATCAGAGAAAAAGAACCACTGTTCTCTGGACAGATGACCCTAAAGTCTCCTCCTCCTCTCCCTCCTCCCCCTCCCCCTCTTCCTCCTCCTTTTCCTTCTCCTTTTCCTATTGAGTTATACCTATTACACTATTACTACTATTGCTACTAAAGAGACACAAAACACATCTACAGAAACATATAAATGTCATGTAGATCATCCTGAACTCAAAGTTTTATAACCTGCCTTTAAAAAGAATTTCCATGTGTTCCAACATGAACATTTTTCCCATAGGATTATAATTGCTTCCCAAACACCATTTCCAGTAGCTGTTTAATATCACTTCTAGTGGATGTACCATTTCTTAGTTGTCCCACAATTGAAGAATAAATGTTTAAATCGTTCTCAATTTCTTGTTATCATAAATAATACTTGAATAGAAATCTTTGTGAAGTGATTTTTCTGTCTTCATATTGGATTACTTTCATAGAATGGAGTCTTAACAGCGGAAATATCAGGGGCTCAAAGGGGTAGAGGGAGATTAACTGTCTGCAGGAACCAGGCAGACAAAGAAGTGAAGTAAACTGGGCATTAGGTGAGGCTGACTGGAAAGTCTTATTAAGACTTTTCACGCATATTGTTGAATTGTTTTCCAGAAAGGTCGTATTAAATTGTGTTTCTTACAGCAATGTCTGAAATTTCTAATTCTGTGGAGTGAATCTTTGATAATATGGTGTCTAATTATCCAGAGATATTCCATTCAATGAGCTATGTCATCATATCAGAACACTCTCACAGGTCCTATAGAATTTATTTTAACTGTTTCATTAAGATACAGGTTCCCAGACACTGCCTGCCTTCTACACTCTGCCTAGCAGTTGGGGAATTCTGTGTTCTAGTGTTTCTCTCCTAAAAGTGTGGGGCCATCAGGTACTGCAGGCCAATTGGATGTTGTCCTCCTGGCTTCAGAACAGGGTACAGTCTATGGCCACCCCACCCTGAATGCACCCAATCTTGTCTGATCTTAGAAACTAAGCAGGGTCAGGCCTGGTTAGTACTCAGATGGGAGAACAGGGCTCGAGTGAGAGGAAGGCTCTTCCGTTTTACCATGTGTACTTGGGAAGTGATCATCAGAAACCAAATCCTTAGTGAATGCCAGGTCAGACTGAGACAAAATTCTCCCAAGCCAACTATCAATCAAGAGGAAATCAAGCTTGGAAGCCAAAGAGGAGGAGAACCCAAAGGGATAGAAGGAAATAAAAGGCAGGGTTGCAAATGTCTGCAAGTTGGGTGTGAGGTGAAGCCAGCTGGAAATCCCACCTCCTGTCTAAGGTCTCTGTTCCTCAGCCCCTGCTGCTGCCACTGAGGAAGGTAGCTTGGAGTTCTGGGATTCAAATCTTTGAAAGCAACCAGAAATGTGGATTTTTATATAAATGTGGATTCTAATTTTTAAATATTGGTTCAATTTTTTAGAAAAACTATGTGTTTGTCCTTCTGTGACTTATTTCACTTAGCATAATGTCTTCCAGGTCCATCCATCGTCACAAATGGTAGGATTTCCTCTTTTTATAAGGCCAAATAATATTCCATTATATGTATATCCCACATTTTCTTTATCCATTTATCTGTTGATAGACTTTTGGGTTGTTTCCACTTCTTAGTTATAGTGTACAATTCTGCATCGTGCAGAATCTATTCAAGATCCTTATTTCAATTCTTTTGGGCATATACCCAGGAATAGAATCACTAGATCATATAGTAGTTCTATTTTTAGATTTTGAGGAACTTCCATACTGTTTTACATAGTGGCTGCACTGAACCACTTTTCATTCCCACGAACAGCATACAAGGGTTCCAATATCTTGACTTCCTTGCCAACACTTGTTATCTTTTGTTTTTTGTTTTTTTTAAATAATAGGCATCTTAACATGTGTGAAGTGACTGCATGATTCCACTTATATGGAGTATTTAAAATAGTCAAACTTATAGAAGCAGAAAATAAAACAGTGGTTGCCAGGGGCTGGAGGGAGAAGGAAATGGCTAGATGTTGTCCAGTGGGTATAATGTTACAGTTATACAAGACGAATAAGTTCTAGAGATCTGGTGTACAATATTGTACTTATAGTTAACAATGCAGTGTATACAGTTTATATAGTTTATACACTTTAAATTTTATTAAGAAAGTAAATCGCATGTTAACCATTTTTATAACAACAGAGAAAAAAAGAAAATAAAAGAAGAAAGAAAGGAAGGAAGGGAGGGAGGAAAGAAGGAAGGAAGAAAAAGCAAAGGGACATGGAAACACTTTAGGAGGTAATGGGCATGTTTATTTCCTTGATTGTAGTGATGGTATTTCAGTTGTATGCATGTGTCCAAATTCATCAAATTATATATTAATACATTATATATATGTAGTCTTTTTATATCAATCGTATCTCAACAAAGCTGTAAAAATATTGTAAAAAATAAAATAGCAAATGAAAAAATAAATAATTTTCAAAATGTGAAAACAAAACACAAAAACCTGTGTGTTGAACAAACATGTCTATGGTCTAGATATGGATCCAATTTTGTGGTCTCTAACCTAGAGTAATGGGAAAGCCAAAGTATACCCACCTGCTGTGGTCCTTGACATGGTTTTCGTGACCACAGACACGGGACAGCTAGAAACATTTAACAGTTTCTAGGAGAAGAGACACTTGACAGTCTGGCAAATATGCAGCTCATTGAATATGAATTTCCAATGGGGAATCCTTTTGTCTTTAAGTAGCGAGACCCCTAAAAACGAAGATCCTCCGTTTTATAACAGAGAAGATAACTGTTCCCTCAGCTGCAGCCACACCTCTAGAAATGGTGGGTATCGTCACACTCTTCTGCAGAGAGTACATGCCCTGCGAAGGAATAAGCATCTGCAATAACGTGCTCAGGTAATGGATGTTGCTGACGAGCCCCAGCAAGCCTGGATTCCGTGACTGTTTTATAATGTATCACTTCAGCATGTAGATGAGTTCCAGATAAGACATCAATTTGTGATGTTCAGGTCTAAAAATAGAGCCACAGCCTAGTCAGTGTTGCCCTTTAGATTCTATTTCCTTTTTACTCTCCTGTCAGCCACGTCGCTGGGATCATCATAAATCTGATTATGAAAACAAGGCCTGTGCCTAGGAAGGAAAATTGACTTCCTGTTGGAAATCAGTGGACGTGGCTGTTTTGAGTGACTTTCTTTCCTCGGGAAACCTTAATGACCCCATCTGTCAACTAGGCAATGACACGCATGACAGGTGAAGGCTTTGGATTCATGGCTTTCCTAGGGCCTTTCATTGCTTATCAGTTCTAAACACAGGGAAGCAAAGCCCCTCCCTGGACTTACCTCCCACGTCACCAGCACCAGTGAGTGCCTCTGTCTGTGTGACACTCCAGCCAGCTCAGCTCAGAAGGCACTATAATCTGTCTCTGCGGCAACAGGGTTGGGGCAGGGGAATCACACTGCAAGAAAAACCTGCACTGAAGCACTTTCTCAAGATGCAGATGTACATTTCCAGCTACAACTTCATTGCTCCCCTTTGCTAGCAGTGATTTAGCAGAACAGTCAACATAGAGGCTTCTCAAATAGACCAATAATTAGAGATTCACAGACCAGCTCTTGGTGTGGGAGCTACTGCTTGTTTCTTGCAACATTTCCTGCTGTGTGGGTTTGAATACTAAGGGACAGAGTTTAGCCTGCATGCTGAATTAGATGTGCAGTACATGTGCCAGCATGCTGAATTAGATGTGCAGTACATGGTCCAGAATTAGACAACAAAAAAGCCTATAGCTGCAAAAAGTGTATCTCTTCTCATTAGGTATTAGCTCCTTGACATCAGGGACAATGTCTTATTCATTACTGTATCCCAAAGTATCTTATCTGTCTTGTCCCTCCAGGGCCTTGTGAGGCCCTTATGCACAAATAGGTGCCCAATTAGTATTAGAGGAATATTAGAGGACTTCAGATATATTTCTACTGATGATAACACCTTGCTGATTTGTCATTCTCCAAACTACTCCTGAATATGGAACTGGCAATGGTCATAAGAGACAGCCTAGCCTCTGCTCTGTAAAGGGTTAGAGCCACAGGGGGAAAAAGACAAAATCTTACTCCTAGGATTTCCTTTTTTAAGATGTTGTGCAATATACTACTCTTCTATTATGGGGATATTTTAAAATTAATTAGTTTGATATGCTGGTATGGGAATAGGAAAAAATTTGGATAAATATATACCAAGCTGTTAACAGGTTTTCTCTAAGAGAACATGGAATATTTACTTCTTAATTTTATATTTTTGTAAAGCATGGTTTTCCTTGACAGAGAATATGTCCTATTTTTGTAAATAAGAAAAACATAGAGACTGCTGAAATAATTAGGTTTAATCTGCTTACACTTGTTTTATATTGATCAAATGATCTCTTCTTTGGTAAAATTTAGGAGATGCCTCTAACTCATCAGCAAAATCTTTATCCATCAAGGTGGGCTATCACTGAGGTGACTCATTAGCCTTTTGTAGTGATTCGTGTTAGATTTAAATTTAGAAGGTTATATTTTCCGACCTTCTAGGATCAGAGGGTCTTCAGTTCCTAGTAACTTGATTGCATTGGTGACACCCCAGGAGACTTGGATAGGAGAATGTCAGAGGTTCCTAATGATGTAGCATTGTGAGGCCTTTGGAGGTGATGTAATCCAACCTTCATCCTCATGCCTGCCTCCTTCTGCACCACCCTATTGGGAAAGCTCCTGGGAAGAGGAGTGTGGAGATGTGTGAAGGCTGTGCAGTTTTGTTAAGAGAACTTTCCTTATACATGGAGCTGCAACTAGCCCTGCTAGACCATCCATCCATTTGTTCCTCCGCTCTCTGCCCTCTGGAGCTACATAGCCAGGGACGTGTGCCTAGCACCATGGCCCTCTCCACCTCTCTGAACCTGACAAGAGCTGATCACTAGTTTGATGATACAAATAGGATAACACTAATTGGAAGGAGTCAACAGAAAGGCCTGGTGAAGAATGAGTGGATGGGGCACAAATTGGTCTTGGAACGGAGTCTTCATTAGTTTCACACAATGTTAAAGCAAAAAGTGCTATCACCTTTGCAAGAGCAAGGACAAATGTAAACTGATTTTAGATGACAACAAACAAACAAACTGACTTTCTGATCTTACTGAGATATAATTTCTAAAGGAAAAGATCAAAATACTTGTTGGGTAATATACGTGTTCTATATCCAGCTATGGAAGAAAAAAATATTGGTAGCTTCCACTAAATCTACTCCCAAATCCATAGTGTGGGGCCTCTTTAGACGTGACTCTGCCCAGTTATGAGACTTTTCTGATGTTCTAACAACTCTTTGCTCTTGGGTAGGACCTAGAGTTGAACTGCCTTACACTGAAGATGACTATAGTGAGAGTGTAAAATGCTGTCACCCAAATTACCTCATGCTGTTGGGGATTCAGAGTCCTTACTGGGTCAGTTAGCTTCTCTCAATTGTATTACAATAGCTGTACAGCTCACCCTAGACAAGCTCCTGATAATAAAAATGCCCAGATGATGAAGTATGTGGTGGTGGGGTAGAGAAGGGACACTGTACAGAACTATCACAGCAGGAAATGTTACCCCAGCTTGACTTGATTCATTAATCAGCATCCTCAGGGCTGCGTTCAGCTAAGAACAAGTCTTATGCTATCATCCGAAGACCATGTTGTCCCGTCTGAGCCATTGGGATATGACAAAGCCTGCCAAAGGGCCTTGCCAAGGTTCAAGTGTTGGGTCTTCCCAGAAGGCCTTAGTGTCACCATTCTAACTCCATCCCTTTAATAAGCACATGACCTTTTGACCCTTCCACTGTTTCACTCCTGACCTTACAGAAGAGAAATGACTAATGCCTCCTCCACTCAGAAGAGGTACCAGTCTTTCTGTCATTCTCTCTCTCTTTCCCTCTCTCCTTCCATCTCCCTCTCCCTTCCTCTCTCTCATGATTTAGAAACCAATGGGAAAAGTTTCAAGAATACCTAGTAAAAAGTGGAAGGGTGAAATTTATGAGGATTTAGTAGGAGCTTTTCTATTAAATGATTAGGAATCTTTTGGCAGCTTTTGGATGAGAGGGAAATAAAGTTCCCTATACTGACTGACCCAGGAAGGGGAAGAGAGAGATTATATAAACAGTTTTTGAAGAAAAGAAAAGATGGTCCATAAAAGAAAGTCTGAAGTTAGAGAGATCACCTTGAAATTCTTCAGAATGAGGAAAGGAAGGTGGGAATTTTGGATACATCGAAGTGACAGAGCGGTGTATTCGTTTTCTATGCTTGTTGTAACAAATGACCACAAACTCAGTGGTTTAAAGCAACACAAATTTGTTACGTCACAATTCTTTAGGTCAGACATCTGACAGATCTTGTTAGGCTAAAATCCAGGTGTTGGTAGGGCTGCATTCTTTCTGGAGGCTCTGTAAGAGAATGTGTATTTTTACTTTTTCCAGTTTCTAGAGGAGTCCACATTCCTTGGTTCACGGTCCTGTCCCCCATCTTTAAAGCCAGCATTGTCCAGTTGAGTCTCCCTTGCATCTTATCACTCTGACACTAACTCGTCTGCCTCCCTCTCTCACACTTAAAAACCCTTGTGATTACATTGAGCCCAACCTGGTAAATCCAGATGAATCCCACTATTTTAAAGTCAGCTACCTAGACACCTTAATTTTTTTCTTTAAAAAAAAATTTTTTTTGTAGAGACGAGTTCTCACTATGTTGTCATAGCTGGTCTTGAACTCCAGGCCTCAAGCCATCCTCCCGCTTTGGCCTCCCAAAGAGCAACTTTAATTTCATCTGTCATCTTAATTCCCCCTTCCCATGTAAGCTGTAATAACATATTCACAGGTTCTGGGGATTAGGACAGGCGCATCTTTGAGAGGCTGTGATTCTGTCTACCACAGATGAGAAGCTGACAAAACTTGGGTAGAATAGTTTATTTTTAATTAATGAAATTAGAGATTTGATCGTTTTTTTTCAAAATGTGAAAGAAGGAATAAGGCTGGAATTCTTTTTGTTTTCAAGAAATCAAACAAAAGAACACACAGCCTGCAGCTTTAGCCAACGTAACTTTCTACTTTGAAAGAACCAGAAAACAGTGCATGCATCAGAAGCTTCTATGGTATAAAGACTACTTTGCTTACTGTGATTGTTCAGTTCCTTGTTTACAATTATTTGTTTAATGCCTGTTTCTCCCTTAGGCTATAAATAACATGGGAGGGGGGCAACTGTGTCTATTTTGTTCACAGTTGTATCCACTGTACCTAGCAGCCAGACTAGGCACTAAATAAAAATTTATTGACTGATTTAAACAAATCTTACTGGAGAGTCTGACACTTCCACATTTGTAAATTTCAAATGGCTTTATTAGTAATGAAACCCAAAAGCTTCCACAATCACCTACAGCTCAGAGCAGTTTCCACATCATTTGGTTCAAAGCCTCTCCTAAGCTCGCCAAGCCCATGATCCCCTGTCACTCCCTTGATCACCTGTTCTGGATTGGTCCTGGGCTCTCCCAGGCACCTGGACACCTGCCAGATGGTATTTATCTTGGTGTCTAATAGTCCAGTTCTCTCATCAGAGTCCACTTCCCTGATTTCAATACCCTGGATTGAGGTTCTTTCTTCTAAAAGCATTCAACAGCTTGACCCCAGGATAGACAGTTATTTAAACACACACACACACACACACACACACACACACACCCACACAAACAGCTTGGCTGGGCGTGGTGGCTCACACCTATAATCCTAGCACTCTGGGAGGCCAAGGTGGGCAGATCATTTGAGTTCAGGAGTTCGAGACCAGCCTGAGCAAGAGCCAGATCCTGTCTCTACTAAAAAAATAGAAATAACTAAATATATATATATATATATAAATTAGCCAGGCATGGTGGTGCATGCCTATAGTCCCAGCTGTCAAGAGGCTGAGGCAGGTAGATTGCTTGAGCCCAAGAGTTTGAGGTTGCTGTGAGCTAGGCTGATGCCACAGCACTCTAACCTGGGCAACAGAGTGAGACTCTGTCTCAAAGAAAAAAAAAACAAAGAAGACAGCTTTATTGAGGTACAATTGATGTACAAAAGCAATGCACACATTTGAGTTTTGGCATATGTTTAGAACTGTGAATCCATTACAACCACGGTCATAAACGTATCTGTCACCTCCAAAAGTATCTTCCTGCTTCTTTGATTTTGTTTTTGTTTTTTTTCTGTTTTGTTTTGTTCTATCTTGGTGAGAACATTTAATATGAGATTAGCCATTTTTGACAAACTTTAAAGTGCACAATATAATATTGTTAACTGCAAACACAATGTTGTACGGCAGATTTTATAGAAGCTTCTCAAAGGGAACGCCTTCCTTCTTCCAGAGTCCACACATTGACCCATTGACCATGAGGGCCCGTTGCCTGGTTGCTGGAGCAGCCAGCTGTCCCCAGACCCCCATCTTTCCTCTCTAGGTGACATCATCCTGGAAGGGTGGAGGCTGCAGTGACTCTAGAGGGGCTCTTGGGAACGATGTTTAATCGACAACAGCCAGTTACCTCATATTAAATTCCAGCCACAATACTATGTGCTATCTGTCCGTGATCCTCACAATTCAAATCACAGTGGACTTGGATTACGTAATTCTGAGCTAAATATTTCCTTCAGACATGAAGTTGGCTCTCCTGACTCATTGAGGTCAGGGCACTTTCTAAGGGTTGTTTTTCTCTTTGAAATGATAGATTTGTGCTGATCTGTCCAGTTCCTTTTGCGCTTAGCAGGAAAAATTAGTCAGACCATGGACTTGGGTCAGGAGGACAGTATAATGATCAAAAAGATGTCTTTTTTATAGAATGTCTTTTGTTCTTTTGGGTAAATGCCCAGTAATGGGATTGCTGGATCAAATGGCAAATCTACTTTTATCGCGTTAAGGTATCTCCATATTGCTTTCCACAGAGGTTGCACTAGTTAGCAGTCCCATCAGCAGTGTATGAGTGTTCCTATCTCTCCGCATCCATGCCAACATTGATTGTTTTGGGGCTTTTTGATAAAGGCCGTTCTCACTGGAGACAGCACAATTCACAATTGCAAAGTTGTGGAAACAACCCAAGTGCCCATCAATACATGAGTGGATTAATAAAATGTGGTATATGTATACCATCGAGTACTATTCAGCTATAAGAAACAATGGCGATATAGCACCTCTTGTATTTTCCTGGATAGAGCTGGAACCCATTCTACTAACTGAAGTATCTCAAGAATGGAAAAACAGGTACCACATGTACTCACCAGCAAATTGGTATTAACTTATCAATACCTAAGTGGACAAATAGGAATAACATTTATCGGGTGTCAGGCAGATGGGAGTGGGGAGGAGAGGATGGGTATATACAAACATAATGAATGCAATGCGTACTGTCTGGGGGATGGTCACACTTTATGCTCTGACTCGGGGGAGGGGGGCAAGGGTAATATATGTAACCTTAACATTTGGACCCCCATAATACGCTGAAATAAAAATAATAAAAATGAATGAAGATAGATTAATCTTTGGTGATAGACCCCTTATTCATATAAGTTTTAAGAATTTAAGCAGTTTAAGATAAAAAATACACAATGTTTATTTGATTTTGTTCATTAGCAGGTAACTCCATTCAGAATCCCATAGCAAGGGAGTCGGTGAGCCCTAAAAGGAGCAAATTCATCATCCATTTAGTTGGAGTAATCAGTTTACAATCTCCTCTCACTTTCTACAACAGAGCAGATTGTAAATACATTGAAGAGCAAAACATAAAATGGAAGAATATACAAAAACAGAAACAAATATACATCCAACCTTTAGGATAAGAAATGGATAAATGTGGAAGGAACAGGAGAAATTTCAGAAGAAAATATTTGAGAATTTATATTACATAAAAACTTTAAATATCTCTAATAATAAATATAATACTCATTAAAGGTCAAACAGCACATTGGAGAAAAGTGTTTGTTATACCAAAATGGATTGCTATTTTTTATATAAAGAGTTAACATACTTCTATAAGAAAAGCACTAAGACCTGGTAGGGCAGGATCACTTAGAACTAACAAAGGAGAAAACACAACTGGTTTTCTAAGAAAGGAGAAAACACAACTGGTTTTCTAAACACAACTAAGACCTGGTAGGGCAGGATCACTCAGAACTAACAAAGGAGAAAACACAATTGGTTTTCTCCAGTTGTGTATAGAAAAATGTTTCACCTGATAGTGATCAAAGAAGTGAAAATTTAAAAAAAAATTAGATACCATTTTAACTCCTTTATTTGTTTACTTATTCAGTAGGTGATTCACTCAACCAGCCTTTCTGAAACAGGCATGTGCAAGATGATGAGGATTTACCAGACATCCAGAGTCCCCACTCCATGAGGATTCGGCCCAGTGAAGGGAAAAAGACTCAGATAGAGAAAAGAGGTGTGAAAAATCTAAGAAAGGGTCAAATATACCTGGGGCAGGAAATAGTTTCAGAAATACTTCATGTCATTAATAATACCACTGCTGGTAAGAATTTAGCACAAATGTGCCTTCTTATATACTGCAAATAGGAGTAGAAATTGTTACCACCCTTTTGAAAAGCAATTTGTCAAATTATTTTAAGCACTCTAAAAATATTCCCACTCTTTGACCCAGTTATTATTCTTCTGGGCATCTATTCAAAAGAAAGGATTTTTATGTCCAGAAAAAAATTTACAGACAAAGATTTTCATAACACCATTAGTGATCATTATAAGAACAAAAGATTGGGAGAAACCTATGTAGCCAAATTATAGAGAAATTATGGTCCCTTAATTTAATGAAATATTATATAGCCATTAAAGATAATTTTCATGAAAAGTATGATATAGAGAAAATATTTGAAATCTAAAATATTACATATACTAAAATTAAAACTATGTAATAAATTTGATATGCTTAAACACTTTTTTGAATGGAAATTTTAGCAGCAGTGGTGTTTGGATAAGTGGTAATGATGTTATTTTTCTTAACACTTCACTTTCTTGATAACTATAAGAGAGTTATCCCTTCTGATCCCATTTATCCTAGGCTTAGCCACAAGACTCACTTTCACCAGTGCAATATGAATAGATGTGCCATGCACTCTACCCCAGTGGAAGCTTTAAAGGCAATTGCATGATTGGACTCAGCCTCTTGCATTTCTGTGCTTGTCCATGGGAACAGCACATCCCAGACAGGGACTGCTCCTTAAACCTGGATCTCAGAACAAGAAGACAGCAGATCAACCCACAGACCACCTGTAATATCTTATAAGTTGCTGAGACTTTGTAATTGTTTGTTACTTCAGCAAAAGCTAATATAGAAACTTTCTGTTTTATTTTTTAGAATACAGTATTTCCAGAAATTTCTTCATAAGCATTTAGTGATTTTCAAAGTTCCAAATATACACAAATACCTCTGCCTGAAACCCGAGAACAGTGCTGGAGAGAAATGAACATGGTTATTTTCAAACAAGATGGAGGACTGTGTGTAGGTGTCATGGGAAATTATCATGACTTGTCCTGAGGAAGCTTTTTAAACCTCAGTTAAATTAAATAACTCTTTTCTTTGACTCCTAAACCTAGTTCACTTTTTATTTTTCTTATTAAAAATAAGGCCATTTGGGACTAAGAATTGAGAACAACTAATGAAGATCCACATTCAGGAACAATTTCTATCCCTGTAAAGTGCAACCTTTCCCTCCCTCGCTCAGTCTTATTCTTTCCAATTAGTGTTCTCTTCATTACCTCAGAATAACAGGAATCAATTCTGCCACCACATGCTAGTGATAGGTGCAATGGCTTTGTCCATCGGCAGGAGTGACAGCAAAGAACCTCCGATATTTAAGGTACAGAATGAGCTCATAATAGATAGCAGCAAGTAGTACTCAGAATGTGTTTTTTGGTGACAATCTTTTTCTTACCAGAAATGAGAATAAGAGTCCATCTGTAAACTCACTGCTGCCAATAAAATATCTAAAGGGATGCATAGGAAATTTTATCTTAGGAAGGAAAAAGGTAGACAACCTGAGAGTCTTGCTTTGGCATTGGATCTAGGAAAGACAATGAGAAGTAGACCACTGAGTTCTTTGGCAAACATAAAGATATATAATCAGTTTATGATAATGTGATAGTATGGATGCATTTATTTAACCAGATGTTCATCATCCCTACTGAGTCTCATGCATTCTACTAGATACCAGGAATACAATGGTGGCTGGGATTGACATAGCTTCTGCCTTGTCAGACAATGATGTGACCCCAGCCTTTATCAACCATATTGCCCAGTGGAAAGGCATTTAATTAACTAGGAAAATAAAGGTTGCTATGGGAGGACAGCAAGAGCAATTTAACTAACTAAAAGGGAGCCAAGGAAAGCTTCTAGAGGAAGTGAGGACAGAGCTCATTTCCAAAGGATCAACAGAAGTTGCCCAGGACAATAGGGGGAGTAGGACCCTGTGGTAGAGAATGGCCCAGGAACAGAAAATAACATGTTAAGAGTGAGACAGGGCATGTGCATTAGAGGAAATTAGAAAGGTTCAGTGTGAGTGAGGGTGATCAGTAAAGGTAGCTAGAGAGGTGGGCAGAGGATGGATCACGCAGGGGCTTGAAAGTCATGCAAAGAAGCTGGGGCTTTGTCTTAAGAAGAAAAAGGATTCCAGGCAAAGAAGTTATATGATCATTTTTATGTTTCAGTGAACTTGCTCCAGCTAATATGATAGTGAGTGGGCCACTGCCATGAAGAGTCTAGGAAAGAAGTGATATATCCAGAAGTAGAGCGTGGGCAGGGAGGATGAAGAGTGGATGGAGCCAAAACAGGTGTAGGGGATAGAATCAATTAGATTTATTGGAATCATCCAGATCACTCCCCTTATTCTATCATCACCCTTCCTATTGTCACGCTGAAATTTGGCTTCTTAGGTATTTCTTCTTACTGGGAGAAAATATCCTAGTTCTAGCTGACTGCTAGACATTACATTTTTCATTGTCCATTAATGAGCTATATTTCTATTTACATACTTCAGACTCTTGAATGTTTAGTTTGTAAATTTAAATCAGGATTCCCGAGTCTGATGAACTCTAGGACTCTAGGAAGATTATCTGCATCTGCAAGACCAAGGGCCTATTCTTCATACAGTAAATTCACCAGTCACTCCATCCTGTGAATTCTCTTGGCAGGGGCTCTGCTACCCACACTGATGTCCCCAGGTATCTCCTTTGAGCTTCTATCAGTCTCAGTGAGGCTTTGAGATGTTTATTAGTCATCATTCCATGTAGTTCAGAGAGCAAAAGCAGGACTAGTAGACAAAGTAGTCAGTGTAAGAGAAAACTTTATATTAGAGTAGAACAGTGAGTTGTAGTTCCCCCAAATCTCTCAGACTTCTAGTCATTGTCACAGAACTTTCATGACTCTGCAAGACAGAGAAATGTCAACCACAAGCTATGTCTAGAGAGTGGTAAGGGTTCTTAGGCAGGCAGTACAAGCTCTCCCAAAAGAGAATATTTATGCCATCCTAAAGCCCCAGTGAAAACAGCTTCTTAAGTTAAACCAATCATGGCTCTGAATTTCACTTTTTGGATTTATAAGTAGCAATGTCATTTGAGCTAATCATTAATTAATTGTTCAAGATTTGCTTTCAATCATATACTGTTACATACATTTCCTCATGATTGGTCTCATATATAAATCCATCTAAATTAGTAACTCCCATTATACTTTCAATGCATCATGAATATTCCTTTCAGACTATTGTTATGATTTTTTTTGTAGGTGAAAGATTACTTTTATTGATCATAGTCTCTGGTACTTGAACTTCACCTCTTAGTTAGACTTAATAATTAAATTTACTTCCAGGAAAGTTTTGGAAGAAAAGCTGGCCAGTTTGTTCTTAGTGTAAAAGCAAATGAGTATAGCACTGGAATGGAGGAGTTGAGCCAGGAAGAACTGGGGCAGAGAGGGGTGGGCAGGATAAGAGGGCTATCAGTGCGAACAGAACAAGGTGAGGATGTTGCAAAGAGGGTGGAGATAATGGAAAATGAACTACAAAAATCACATCGCTTTTGAGCTCCTAAGAAATGATCTTGTTGAAAATCATGAGCTGTTGTCCAAGGCACAGTTTCATTCTCCTAAAAGGTCACTCACTACTGGGCTAGCCCACCAGAATAGAGAGGGTAGACAGGAGAGAGAGATTCGTTGTAGCCTGTGGTTTCAGGGTCATCACATGGCCTGGGGACAGTGACCCAAAGTGGTCCTTAGTTTAGACTGAGGCTCACACTTCATAGGATCACTCTAAGCTAACTATCTACATCCCACACCCAAGAAGGCTTCTATGCTCTTCTGATAAAGTGACTTGCCTATGTGCCTGTCTTTCTGTGTAGACAGCAGGTGGCCAAGGAGCACTGTGCAAATAGCTGCTGGCACAGAAGTACAGAGCTATCTGATTGGGGATGGCGATCTCTAGCGACAGGGAGAATTTTGCCTGCTCCTTTCGAGAGACATGTACCCTTTGGAGACTCTTCTTTGTTAGTACTGTTGACACCAAGGAAATAGTAGATCAACAGAAGCCCTAGGCCTGGGTCATGTCGATTCTAATACATCCTGTCATGATCCTCAGTCTGAGAACATTCCAGCAGAATGCTTTGCATTGTCTCTGCAATTCTATTCCTTGGAGTCTGGGTAACACCATCATCTGTGAACCCTGTTCCCAGAAGACAAAAAACCACACAGCAGAAGAGCATGGAGCCCATGGCAGGGCGAGGCAGGATGGACGTGGTTCTAGCTCCTCTCCGCAGATGCTGAAACTCTTCTAGCTCCTATCTTCTTCTGCTTCTACACTGAGAACTACCAGAGACTTGTCTCTCTCTTCTCAGGTTGCAGATGCTCAACGGAGCATCAGTCTCCCAATGAAACAGGCTATGGAGAAAATTCAGAACCCTTTCAAATGAAGGGAATCTAGTGTCACTGGAATTGTTATGATTTTTAATTGTGTAATTGTAAAATAATTTCCTTAATATTCATTTCTTCCATTAGACCCATTTTGCTCACCACCATATTTTTAGTGTCCAGTGCCTGGTGAGCACTCAATAAATATTTGTTGTTTAATCGGTTGGGTGATTGATTGCGTGTGTTAGCAAGTTGAATTATAAGACTATAGAAGTCTGTGCTTTTATGATTTCGCATATTTCTGCAGGTAAGGATTTCTCAATGATCCTGAAGGATTTCTTCCTGCTTCCCCATATTCAGACATAATACCGGGAATAAAATCTAAAGCTCAGAGAAGTTAAGTAGCTTTCTACAGATCACACCCTAGTGGTTGAGAGCATCAACTCTGGAGCTGAGCTAGCTCCACTGCTTGTTCAGTGTGTGACTGTGGACGAGTCACCTAACCTCTCCGTGTCCTAGGCTTCTCGTTTGTAAAATGGGGATAATAAAAGTACTTCATAGGCTTGTTTTAGGATTTAAAGTCCTTAGGAGAGTGGCTGGCACATAGTAAGAGTTACATAAATGTTAGCTATTATGATTATATAATTGAAAATAATCTAGGTTTTCTCATTCCTGGGATCATAAGTGCAAAGCTGTCTTCATCAACACCGTGGTCAAGTTTTCTGTTACCTGTAATCAAAAGCATTCTTAACTGGCACAAAGAGGCAAAATCAGAGATATCTTTCAAGCAGAGTGAAGTCACACAAAAGGGTCTGTTTCGCCTGGAGAATGGTCAGGCATTGGTGTGGACAGTAAAAGGAGGAGAGAAGCGTGTAGGGCATAGGAGGAAATAAGGCTACAGGTGAAAGTCCCTGAACGCTATAGGTTTGAATTTGTATTTTTATCTTATAATAACAAGCCCACAGATAAATTTAGGCAGTTAGGTGATGTGATTAACATTGCTTATTTAGAAGAGTAATCCATTCAGCTGTGTAGAATGCACTGGAAGTGAGTTAAGGGATAGGTATGGTAGTTTAAGAAAGAGGGTGAACCAAACCAGCACTAATGAGATGACGAAGAAAGGCCAGCCACAAGACACATTCCAGAGGATCCTGCTTCTGGCACCAGAAGGCTCGTTACTCAGCAGTAGCTAAGAAACTGGGAAATTTACAGGAGGAGTTTAGAAGTGAAACGGGGCTCTGGAGGGGAACATTCAGGATTGAATCACAGCCCTTTCACTCAGTCCCTGGGTATATCTTAGCAAGACCCCCAACCTCAAACAGCCACAGTATTCTCATCTGGAAAACAGCTTCATAGTAAGTTTTGAAACCAGATAAAGGGGGTTCCCTAACTTTTGTTTATCTTTTTCAAAGCTTTTGGCTACTTAAGGTCTTTTGATTTTCCATGTCGATCATAAGAAGAGCTTGGTCAAATTTTGGAAAAGGACATGCTGGGATTTTAATTAGGATAATGATGACATATATAAATCCATAGGTCATTTGGGGAAAGCTGACATCTTAACAACAATTTTAAGTTTTCTTTTCTTTCCTTCTTTCTTTTTTTTTTCAGAGACAGGGTCTTCCTCTCTCATCCAGGCTGCAGTGCAGTGGCAAGATCATAGCTTGCTGCAGCCTTGAACTCTTGTGCTCAGGTGATCCTCCCACCTCAGTCTCCCAAGTCTCTGGGATTACAGGCATGAGCCACCACACCTGGCCAATTTTAGTTTTCTGAGTTGTTAAAATAATATATTTCGCCAATTATTTAGATCTTCTTTAATTTCTCTAAAAAATTTCCTATTTTACAAATATTTTGTGTCTCACATATATTCTGTTAGATTTCTTC